GTCCGAGATCAAGGTGTCGGCAGGTTTGGTTTCTTCTGAAACTTCTCTCCTTGGCCTGTAGATGGTTGCTTTCTTGCTGTGTCCTCACGTGGTTGTCCTTCTGTCATGTCTGATCGCCTCTTCTTATGAGGGCAGCAGTCATATTTGATTGGGGCTCCCCCTAATAACCTCATGTTAACTTAATAACCTTGTCAAAGGCCCCATCTCCAGACATAGTCACATCTGAGACACTGGGAGTGGGAATTTCAACATATGAATTTAGGGGGACCCAGTGCAGCCCGTAGCACCCCGTTGCTTGGTCTGTGTTACCTCTCACCCCAGGATGTGTGTTCTCTCTCACTGTGATGAGTACTAAACCCAGCTTGTTCAATTGCAGGTATGTTCCTGGTGGTCTTGGGCTCAGCAGTAATTTGCTGCTGAAGAAAGGAATCCGGAATTCTTGGTGGACTTGAGGGAAGGAGGAAGTGGGGGGCTTCCCAAGGATTCCCATGAGACAAAGAGCTATCAGACGGGCACAACTTGGGAAGGAGAAGAAAGAAAGCCTTGTCTATCTCAGAGACAGGATAGAGAGAGCAAGGTGAGCGGGCAAATAAACCATGGGTCACCCCCTCCCTTGGTCTGTGGGGTCTTAGGTCAAGCCTCCACCTGGAAACAGGGAGTGACTGAGCTGGATGCCAGATGGATGTTTTGATATTAAGTTAGGCTGGACTGTTGACCCCCTGAAATTGGGACAGTTGGAAAACCCCCAGATGGCAAGAAAATCGAGAAGATCTGCTCCTGATATAGCCACGGAGGAGGGAAAGGGGGCTCAGACAGATGGAGTGTGCAGGCAGGGTGAGAACGAATGAAGCTGTCTCCTGTTCATACCCGTGAGCCTAGACTTGTTTTTTTTTTTTTTTTTACTCTTTATCATTTTTAAAAAATGGATTGCTTTTTTTTAAATAAAATTTTGATTTTAGAATAGTTTCACATTTACAGAAGAGTTGCAAGGATGGTACAGAGAGTTCCTATACACCCTTGGCCCCATTCCCCCTGCCGCTAACATCTTCGATGGCTCTGGTGTCTTCCTCACAGCTAATAAACCTAGATCGATGCCCTGTTGTTAACTACAGCCCATATATAGTTTTTTTGTTTAGTTTTTTTTTTTTTTTTTTTTTTTTTGGGCAGGGGGGGGTACTGCTGTAGCTAACAGCTTTGCCCCATGAGGTTTCACCTTGCTTCTGACCTTCCCTTTCTGGCATGTGGGATCTTCCCGGACCGGGGCACGAACCCGCGTCCCCCGCATCGGCGGGCGGACTCTCAACCACTGCGCCGCCAGGGAAGCCCACGGCCCATATTTTATTTGGAGCTCCTTGGTTTTTACCTGTGTCTTTCTTCTGCCCCAGGACCCCATCCGGGAGACCACATGACATTTAAGCTCCTGAGGCTCGCCTTGGCTCCAACGGTTTCTCAGCCTTTCCTAGTTTTGGATGAACCTGACAGTGTTGAAGAGGACTGGTCAGGTATTTTGTCGAATGTGCCTACCTTGGGGTTTGACGGATATTTTTCTCATGATGAGACTGAGGTCCTGGGTTTAGGGGAAGAAAACCACAGAAGTAAAATACCATTTTCCTCACATCACATCAAGGGTACAGACTAGCAACAGGACTCTGATGCTGACCTTGAACTCCTGGCTGAGGCAGGGCTTGTCAGGTTTCTTGACTACAAAGTTACTTTTTCCCTCATTTTTGTGCTGTTCCCTTGAGAAGGATGTCATTGTGCATCAGCCCACACTTAAGGGGTAGGGAGTTACGCTCCATGCTTGAGGGTAGAGTAGCTACATAAGTTATCTGGAATTCTTCTGCTTGGGAAATTTGTCTCTTCTCTCCCATCTCTTACATTATTCACTCAATTATTCATATCATTTGGACTCATGGTCATTTCTCTTTTTTTAACATCTTTATTGGAGTATAATTGCTTTACAATGTTGTGTTAGTTTCTGCTGTATAACAAAGTGAATCAGCTATACGTATACATATATCCCCATATTCCCTCCCTCTTGTGTCTCCCTCCCACCCTCCCTATCCCACCCCTCTAGGTGGTCACAAAGCACTGAGCTGATCTCTCTGTGCTATGCGGCTGCTTCCCACTAGCTATCGATTTTACATTTGGTAGTGTATATATGTCAATGCCACTCTCTCGCTTTTTCCCAGCTTACCCTTTCTACTCCCTGTGTCCTCACGTCCATTCTCTACGTCTGCATCTTTATTCCTGTCCTGCCCCTAGGTTCTTCAGAACCATTTTTTTTTTAGATTCCATACATATGTGTTAGCATATGGTATTTGTTTTTCTCTTTCTGACTGACTTCACTCCGTATGACAGGCTCTAGGTCCATCCACCTCATTACAAATAACTCAATTTCGTTTCTTTTTATGGCTGAGTAATATTCCATTGTATATATGCACCACATCTTCTTTATCCATTCATCTGTCGATGAACACTTAGGTTGCTTCCATGTCCTGGCTATTGTAAATAGTGCTGCAATGAACATTGTGGTACAGGTCTCTTTTTGAATTATGGTTTTCTCAGGGTATATGCCCAGTAGTGGGATTGCTGGGTCGTATGGTAGTTCTATTTTTAGTTTTTTAAGGAA